TTATTATTAAACTCTTTACTAATAAATAAACTTGATTTATTATTAATTTGAATTACTACTTTGTCAAACATCTATATATTCCCTGATACATGCTTGTCTAATATTTGGAATATCAATTATATCCCGATAATTTTCTAATAACTTCATTGAAATGATTATAAAAACCACAGCTAAATTAGTATTAAGCTATACATAATTTTTTACTATCCAGGTGTTAGGACATCTAAAAACGTTTAATAATCAATAAATGCAATCAAATATTGTAAAAATGAAAAGTATAGAAATAGTGATTACATACAAAAATTTTAAATCCAAATCCAAACAAAATCGAACACATTTGTAACGTATGAATGTGCGGCTAACTAGTGCGCACAACTAGCAGCAGAAGTTCATGATTGCGATTTGGACTGCAAACATATGAACACACCTAAAAACTATATAAGCTAAGAGAAAGATAATGATTGAGTTTTCATGGACAATTCAACTTAATTGTTTTTGTTAAAACTTTAATCTCTGAAAATATATATATATATACGTGTTAAATTATATTAATTCTAAAGTAAATATACTTTAACGAATTTATGTATTTTATTTGATATTCTACAAATTATGTTTGGGTATGCGCCACACACCTACGCACCTTAGAGCAGTCGTCATTGCCATAGCTATAAAATGCATGTAAAACCAAAGTTGGTTTTAGGATATTCCTATTTTCTTCTCAATTTTTGCTTTGTTGTTGAGTTATGCGCTTACCAACACATTTTTCGATTCATTTTTACATATAAGAAGACAAGAACATAACCAGAATAGGTATGTTTATTAAAATCCCCATGACTTTCTTTGCAGATCATTATCTCCACTATCCAAGCGAGCCACCCACTTTTTATATATTTGTCGCCTTTAGGTTTTTACTGTCCCTTTAGATTATTTTCCAATCCGGTTTTAACCCTGAGTTCGCCTCTTAGTTTGAAATCCTCTGGCAGACATCCCAGTCGGGTTTTTTAGTGGACCCGAGCTGAACCTCACACACCAGGGTGATTGTTCTGTTCAGAGACTATAAAATAGGTAAGAACAAAAAACTGTCACATTCCAAATCTTTTTGATAGAACGAAGTCTGTCGGGTTCGCTAGTAATATTATATATATAGGATATGTTATTAATAATTAACCCTAGTCGGATGGAATAGGTACAATTATAACTTTTGCACTTTCGAATTGCAATAACTTGTCTCGCTTATACTGTAGGGGCCTGGAATTTCGAAGTTCTGAGCAACTTTCAAGGATATGAAACTGAATTGAATTCATTGTTAGTAAAGAAGTCTTAGATGCAATTGTACCTTTGGGTGCTGTGATCCAAAGATCAGCAGAAGTTAAGTGGGTCTCATTCCTTATCAAGGAGAAATTTATGTCCAAAACAGATTAGACTCATTAGAAATTCATTAGAATTTCTAATGAGGCGTTTATTGGCGCATTATTTTGATACATGTGTATGTAGACCACCGCGGTCTTAAGCTTTAATGGCAGATACCCACGCTAAACAGCACTGTTACTGTACCTTTATGTATTTTGTACAAAATAATTTTTTTAAAATAAATTATTAGAAAAATTAAAAGCTTTATATAAGAAATGGAAATTCGCTGATATATGTATTTTATCGACTTTCTTCGCAAGAAATATATTTTGTATTGAAAATAGAGTTATCAACGCAAAAAGGTTTCACGCAAACCACACATGAGTTTCTAGTTGGCAAACATGGTAGCTACCAACAATTGCGGTAGTTACGTCTGCCATGAGGCATTTTAGCACTAACTTCTGGTTCTGACGTAGCAAAATAAATCCGTCGTCCAAGCACCATTTCTACTGCATTTCAAAGAAAATGGTTATCCATAATTTTTTTTTGTACTGTGGTTTTCAATTCAAGCCATGCATAGCTGAATGGCAAGATCTTTGAGGAACTTCTTTCTGTCCATGACGTCGTGCCACCTTTGGTTTTATGATAGAATTTCATTACCTCTGGCTTGGCACTCTGCGAATATTTAATTTCTCCTGTCATGTACATGGTTGATAGAAGCACAACTGATATTTTTTTTTTGGCACATAGGAACAGATTGTTGTATCAGATTGTACGCAAAATTTGTTGAATTCACAGGCCTTTCTTTTAAAGACTGGCAAACTTTTTATTGTTTCTGATTGTTCCAACGAGTGCCATGCTCCTGGAGTTAATGGATTAAGCCTTATATCTTGAAAATATACCACAACGACGTACCTGTATAGCATATAGTGAAATCACAGACAGAGCAAACAAAATCCTGTGAATATTTCCTTTAATTGCAAGTTGTTCATATTTTTTCTCAATATTTTTTTAAATAAAGGAATTAAATTAAAAGTTAGTTAACTTTAAGCTAACTTAGTTAGCTTAAGTTAGCTTAAATAAATTCATTTTATTCAACAACTAAATCAGTAGCGTATCCTTTACATACGAGTTTGCATATAAGGTGTAGATAATAAAAACTATACAATTCTGAAATATTTTTCTTCTTATATTTTAATACAAATATTTACTAAAAATTTGAATGGTGAAACATTCACTATTCATTATTTGAATAGTGAAACTGTTCCAATCTGTCAAATATTACGTTTTCACAATTAACAAGTCTAACGTGTCTCCGCAAAATTCAAGTGAAAATTTGAAATTTAAAAACTCAATGAGATTTTTGATTACATTTTATTCGCACATTTTTAAAAAGTTTTGCATATTTTTAAAATACTTATTTTACGGGGTTATTGACCGGTCACTGTAGATTGAATAATCACCTAACGAAATTAGAAATGTAATCCAACTCGGACTGCAGATACTGTAGAGAAGAGAGTACTTGTGGAGTGCCCGGCACTGATGCATAAGCGCAAAAAAGACCTAGGAATGTATTTAATGGATCATTAGGATTCATGACTAGGAAAGATGACCGCTTTATTGTCTTTCATTAAAGAAATCGGACTTGGAGAAACACTGTAATCCGACTAAGGGTTTTTTTTCGACAATAAGTTTTTTAGGGACGCCGTGCACTACATCTTTTTAAATAATAATTCAGATACTTGTTTTCTTCAATTTTAAAATTTGTGAAAATTTCAAATGTTATTTGATTTTTTGTTTACAAGCAATTTTTAAGGGATGCGTGCAATATTCGATAAAATTTCCAATGCAGGTTCACAATAGATTGCTTATCGCTTTGAGAACAATTTTTTTTACAGTCTCTTAAACGATTACAGACTTCATAACTAGTCTCTGAAAACAAGAGACTAAGTTATTAAATTAAGTACTTAAGAACAAGTACTGTTGTTATTTGCGTAGCAATTAAGCACTTTAACAAGAGACTTGCTGTTTTTTGAAAATTTCGGAGGGACAGAATACTCCTATTGAAAAGATTTCAGAAACTTGTTAGCTTTTCAAACTAACTGTTGAAAAAATATATAATATTGGTTTTAGATTTTGAGGAAAAAGAATATTGCAATATATCTTTTAAAAATAAATCTTTATAAATACATATATTTAAACACATATGGACTCGTATATAAATAAAATTGCTGCTTTCGTCTTATTATAACTAATCTGATGAACTGAAACAAGATTTTGGCATAAAATATTTTCTAGTCTATATATCTCCTTTTCCATTTTTTGCACTATTCCGGCTACGTTACATTGAAATAATTACAGATTTTATATTTCTCTTCCTTTTATTATAATTAAATTCATCACATAAATTAGACTTACTAAATCATTTAAACTTTAAGGAACTTAAGTTGAATTGAAAATTGCTTGAATTAATCTTATTAAATACGTGATTTATATTATTTTCAAATACGTATTATTTTCAATGTAATCGCTTGCAAAACGCCAATACGAAGACTTTGATGTGAATCACACAATATTAATATTAAAACTTATTATACTTATTTCAAATACAGTAAGAACCCGCTTAACACTATTTCCTTTATCGCTGTTTCGGTTTAGCGCTCTTTTATTTCAACCCAAACATTTAAGCAGATGTTTGAACAGAAGGAGAAGAAAAGCAATCAATAAGAGAATTTTGGAAAAACTACAATATCATGAATGCTGTAGAAAACATAAACCTTTTTTGGAATGAGATAACAAAAAGATCTTTGAAAGGAGTATGGAAGAACATCTTATTAGATTCAAGTAAGAGTGAAGATATTCGACGCTCTATCGATATGGATGAAATAGCCGATGAAATAGTAGAAAAGCGAAAAAAACCAGTATAGATGAAGTCAATGTGGAAGACGTCGGAGAAATAGTTCAAGAAACAGCATGTAGTCTTTGTAATGAAGAGCTCAAGGAATTGACTGAGCAAGAAGAAAACAAAAATATTGATAGTAGTATTTCGAAGAAGAGCACAAAGAATTTTCGATGGCCTTTGTAAGAAGAAGTTTGACCACTACAGAAATGTTCCAAACTTTGACAGAAATTCAAAAGTAAGACGGGGTGGTATAGATGCTTCATCCACATATCAACAACTTCTAACAAAACGTAAAAGGAAAACACAAACTACATTAGATGCCTTCCTGACACAAAGGTAGAAAATTGGAAACACAGAACAAACTGAATGAAAATTTTATTTGTTTTTAGAGATATTCGTTTACATTGTTATTATTAAAAAAAAAAACATAATTATTAAATTTAGTACCTAAGCAATTTGCTTTCAATCTTCCCCTAACTCCATTATTTACATGTTAAGATAGCCTCGTTTAGCGCTGTTTCGCATTATGCTCTATTTTTATGAAACTTATCCTACGCATTAAGCGGGGTCTTACTGTATTTCAAAACTAATTACACTACACACGTGCCTAAATAGCATTTATGTTTTAAGTTCTATTCCATAATTTTATGGATTTTGAACATGCTATACCTTTGACTGTATGCATTTAATGTGAAATTAAATCAAAGTAATTCATTTGGTTCTTCTTTGAAATGCTAATAATTCTCACCTGATTTAAATTCTAAGGATTCATTAAATCTGCGACAGTGTAGTTGCGATGATATTCTGTTATTCTTCCTTTGGATTGTGTTATGCTTATCGTTCGCTGAGTTTTCGTTGTTGCTACTTTTATGTTTTTAATACGACAGGATGCTTCCTTGTAAGCTTCCTGCCTTCCTTCCTTCTATATGAGTTTTTGCGTGCTTTACTTTGCCTGCCGTTGACACGTTTCTTAGTATGTAAATAAATGTTGTTGCCACTAATGTCGCTAGTTTTATTTGGTCATTCGTGTCAAAAGTTGTAAAAGCAATTCACGTCTGCACTGGCAAAGCAGCAACAAAAATGAGGACAACAGCGATAAAATGATTTTTAAAAATCAAATAAAATATCCACAAAATAAAATTAAAAAAGGGGGTAAAAATATGTCGAACACGCGACAACTTAGATATTGAAAGGATATTGAAATCGTACGAACAGTGTATTATTTTTTTATATTTTTTTATATATTATATTTATATTGTATTTGTAGTATTTGTTTATTAAGATTTTATTTGTTTTAGTTATTGAGTATGTTCTTTGCTATATTTTGCTTACTTTAATATCTTTTAATTAATCTTGTTATCACTTTAACTGCAGCCACCAGGAAGGATCTGGTGGCAACAGCAATATTCTTAATGTAGCACTTAAACTATTTATTTTATTACACTTAATTATTTTTTATAAGCACTTCTAGTAATAATTTCTTATTTAACAATTATTTTATGTGTTGCAAAAACCTTACTTAATGGTGATATCCTTTTATTTATTTAATTAGGACTTCCTTTTCCAATAACTATTTTAATTGGAATATTAATATTGTAACTTTGTTGCTTTGTTGTTGCTGTTGTTTTGATAGTAAATTTCTTTTTTATATTCTTTTTGCTTTATTTTGGTTAAATTCTTCTTATATTTCCTCAACAATAACGTTTTATGTTTCATCTCTTTTTTGTGTATTTATTTTTGTATGTTTTGCTTGTTTTTTGTAATTTCGTATTCACCACACTTGTACGCTGCAGCTGGTGCTTGCTCTTTAAATTGGAGCAACAACAATAAGTGAGGCAGCAGCGAGAACTGGTTGAAATAGAAACAGAATCACAAGAACGAGAACGAGAACGAGAACTAGACCGAGAACAAGAACGAGAGCGAGCACAACAACCAGCAGACAACATTACACTCAATTCACTCATATTTTGACAATTCGGAATAACGTATACGTACTGTTGAACGAACACAACACGTTGTGTTCGCAAGCTGACAATAAAAAATTTTTAGGAGCACAAAAGCACACACCACGTTGCTTTCCTTTTTATTGTATTGTATTACTTTTTTGTTTTTTTTTTTTTTTTGATTGTTGGTTTTGTTGGTAATATGACTGCTCTAACCGTATTGTAGCTGTAGGTGTTGTAGTTGTAGTTGTTGTTGTTATTATTATTACTTTTGTATTAGTTTTCCTTGCATGAAAATTTAACCTTCTGCCCTACTCTGCGCAAAACGTATGCGTCATCGAGGAACTTTCTGCTACATTTTTATTTTGTGTTTACGTGCGTTCGTGCAATGAAACAAATATTTACTCGATATTAATACATATACAAAAATATAAAAATTAAAAAAATAATTTATAACGTCTAATAATTTCATTAAAAACACAGCATTTATTATTTATTTATATTTTTCTTTGCATTACAAGCATTTCTTACATATGCCAGCATTTTTATGGCATTCAATGCTATTTGTATTTATTTGCTTGTTGGGTATAATTGCTTAATAAATTTTCACTCACAGAGTCCTTTAGTTGCGACGAACGTACACACGCACCCCCACATTCAAGGTTATTTCCTGGTATTTTTCTGCTTATCAATTACGTTTCATTTATTCTGTATTCCACCAAAAGTCGCAAAACAATCTAATTTATGTTTTATTCCAATTCCTTTTTTGGCAATTATGTGTTGGTAATATTACAATTACTCCTTTTCTTTTATTATTTTATTCTTTTTGCAATATTATTGACTTTACTGATTAACTTTACTGATTGCTTTTTGGGTAAGTATTTTTATTTTTTATTTTTTAATTTTCTTTTCGTTTTTCACATTATTTATTCTGATCTGATGTGTTTGCTGCAATATTTCTTTTATTTTATGTCTACAATTTATCACTTTCCTTCATTTTGCTATAATTTTTGTGTTTTTTAATTGAAAATAATATATTTTATTCATTTAATTAATTTAGCACAAAATCATTTTCAGCCACATTTTTCAATTTTAATTTCATTTTTTTTTATCTTAGTACCTTCAGCCTGATTAATGTGGCTGCTCGTTGCTTTTTCGTTCCTTGGTTAGTTCTGAGTACTGTTGTAGCTGTTCTTATGATTGTTGTTGTTGTATACTATGTATCTGCTGTATGCTCTTCAAACTGTCACAATTTTCTTTTCTTTTCATTTCCTTTATAATCATGATAGTATTCTTACATGCTATCACTACCGTTCATTTCATTTTAGAAAATATTTTAAGTTCTTAGTTTTGGCTAGTGAAGAGTCCGTCTTCACTGTTTGGCTCCTCTACTCTAACTACTTTAGTCACCAGTACTGAATTCTCGCGAAAGCTTATCCACTTTGCAATTTTGAGTAAGTTCGTAGGCATATACAGAAAGGCTCAGCATTATTTTGCACTCATTCGTTTTCGGAGTTATTAAACAGTTCCGTATTTTATTCTCCATGACTATTGTCGGTAATTAATTTTAAAGCCTACTCGGATATACACTGTAAATCTTATGATGATATTTTATTATATGCATATACATATGTATGTATATATGATATGTATTTCAAGAGATATATTAAGAATTAATTACTTTAAAATATTTTTTCAACCTTAAAAAAAGGAATAAAAACATATAAAAAGGAAAAGTTCAAATCATAAAATTTTGCATATTTTTATAACGTATATATTATATAAACAACTAAGTAAAAAATTATTTTGCTCTGTTAAATTGATTATATATATATATATCGAAAAATGTGTTTCCACTTATTACAATCATTACAGTGCTTCTCTATTATTTCGCTTATAGAATGTCTCGCTTGTAGAATGTTTCACTTTTTTTCAGTTAGTGGAAAGCATTGAAAGCTAGACTTTGACTTACTAAAACCGCCTCTTCGGAATGCAATCTGGACAAATTCCAGCTAATTCCAGTTAAGGTCAAAAACTGTAACCCTATTCTGGTTATCAAGAGAAAGGCATGAAAGCTTAATATTAAAATCACAAATATATCCTAACAAAATTTGCAAAGGGGGAAGAAGGGAGGTAGGATGTTCTTGCTAGGTAATAATTACTAAATAAGACTAAACTTTATGCAAGGAGTTGTTGCAACCGCGATTGAAGCAGAATAACAACAGAAAGATATCGCCGATATCGCCAAGATAAAGTTTCAAGAACTGTAGAAAATCGTCTGGAACACTTTTTTGAAGTTTGCGAATAGATAGTAATCATTGTAAGCTAAATCCGGTGAATGCGGTGGGTTCGGAAGCAGTTCGAAGTGTGATTCGTGTAATTTCGACATAGTTAGACGCAGCGTATTGTCTTGGTAGAAGAAGATTTTTTTCATTTTTTAATTGGGCCGTCTTGAAATCATCGACACTCTGTTATTATAGGTGATTTGTCAGTAAATGTGGGACCCATTTAAAACTTTCCGTTGAAATCGTTAAGGTGCTGTAACTTCAGTTTACTGAGTTTTACAAATCACTTTTCAACAATTTATCTGGATGGTGTCCAAGTAGCTTTCCTTAGGTCAACCTTTTTAAGTCACTGTTTTTTTTCTATCAAAAAGCAATGATTAATCAGAACTCAATGTTGTTTTGAATCCGTAGTTATGAACATATAAAAAGGAATCATCACTAAAACTGTAAAGCTATAACTAAATAATCTTTTAAATGTCATAAAATCATTTAAAATTTACGTAGATAAGTGTGTCATCCTAAGAAGTTATCAGCCGGTACTTTACTTACTAATATATATAACTGAAATTTTAATTAGTTACATAAGCACCAATAAAAACAGTATAACTAATAAACCTTCATCTACAAGAAAAACATAACACTTCTTTTAATTTTTCATTTATTTTGTTTTAATTATAATCATAATTTTTAAATAAGAAACCTAATGCAGCCATGTGTAGTGAATTTTATAATTTAATTAATCACAAACAATGCGATCTCTCAAAAAATTATCAACAAATTGATAAGTCTATTGACTTTATATGCCCTACATTTTTTTAAAAGTAATACAATTTTGTGCAAGTAGAAGTTATTTAATCTTCTATTTTTCATTTTTTTCTTTAACATATATTGATGTCTTAAATCTAAAAATTATTGTAATATTTTTCTTTCTAAATAAATAAATAATTCTATGCATAATTGATTTACAATTAATTATCTGTATCTTTAAGATCTTTCATTATTTAACAGTAATTCCATATTTCCATAATTCTATATTTGCAATTATCTATATACATAAAACATTTGTTACTTATCCTTTACAATTAATTTTTAATATATAATTTATTGTTTCATATTTACCATAAATAAATATCTCATACGCACTGATGTGCCTTAAGATGGAAAAATATCTCTTAAAATTGACTTATATTATTTCTTGCAGTGTTTAACACACACAATCTTCTCCCATACTAACATTCACTCAATTGTCCGATTATCCCTTTTATGTGTCCAAACACAGGTGCTTGAAAAACACTCGAGCACTTTGTGTCGATATTACGGAACAGCGAGTGTAAATCGTGAGTGAAATCTATGAAATCATTTATGTGGTGAAAAGCTTTGCAAAGCTTAAACTCACTAATATTAAGCAAAATGTAAAGTTACTCAATATCTTAAACGTCAAATTGGTTCTAAATGGAAATGGCACATTGTGCATACGTGCCTGACTTTATTGCCATAAACTTAATATTGGCAACAATGTTTTTATTTTGTTTACAGCAACACTATAAAGTTCTTTAGTTCATTAACAGATGTGAAAATAATTAATATTTATTTATTTAAAAAAGAAGCGACTAAGAATGCAAATTAACTTCATCAAATCAAATGAAATAATAAGTAATTTAATTTGGAAAGCTTATTAACATTTCCAACCAAATTTTAAAACTAAAACCGTATTTGTGTTTAGATATTTTTAAATCCTTAATTCAAATAAGTAAAATTATGTTTCTATATATTTATAATGCTACACACATAATTTTAATCATAATTTAGTTATTAGCAGCTTGTAAGGCCTTAGGATAAAATACGTCATTGAATTTAAGTTTTTATTGATTTTGAATTTGTGGTGTTAGTTTTTGTACACGCACAAACTATGACGAAATACATGGATTAGTCAAAAGGTTATAATATTACCCAAGAGAAATTAATGACGTCATTTAGAGCTATTGTAAGCTTTCATGATGTAATAATTTTTAATAGCAATTTAAATTCTACTATCATAGTAAGATAGTTTATTAAATATAATTAAAAAAACAGAAATAATATATTACTAACGCACTCAACTAAAATAAAAACGAAAAAGTTTATTATTAACTACGAAGTTCCATTGAACTCTTTATATTCCTGTCTTTGGCATTAGTAATAGAAAATGATGCTTTGCATTAGTATTATATGGTTTGAAACGCTAAATATTTAACTTTATTTTATGTCCATCTCTATTCATATATAATATATATATATGTCATATATATATAAGTCATATGTAGTTGTTATATACCATTATGACAACTATTATAAAAATATTATGACAATAATAAATGAGCTATTGCAATGTTAAAATATATAAATATTTAAATATCAGGACACAATCTCCAAAGAAATAAGAACAAAGGTTTTAATTAAATTCTAAATAAACAACATAATCGATTTAATAATTGAGATTTATATTTCTAAATTAATATATTTTATCTGGAATTTATATTTGGTAAAATATTTAGCACTGCATATGTTACCATTAGAGTTTCTGTATTTAATTCGATACGACTCAGACTTGACGTACATCTAGGCAGTAATAGGAGTTTGGGACTCTACTCTAATACTTCGCGAATCTGAGTTTTCAAACTAAACCAAAACTAGTTAATTTAAAAGGCACAATCTCGGAAAGATTGGTCATATTCTAAAATTATTTTAAATTTCTTGATAAAAACAAATAAAAAGTTTTCCAAATTTGGGACTCAGTTTTTAGTTTCGAATTTTGTAAACTAAGAGTTTTCAGAGACTCATATTACCAGTGAATTTTGTGTGCAATTTATTATTCAAAACGTTTACATAAGCTACTATTGCGCACATTTTTGATTAGAAGCTCAAAAAATATGATCGGCAAAGCAACATATTATCCGATGTAATCGCTGTACCATTTACCAAATTTTTACTTTGTAATAAGTCCTAAAAAAGCCCACGAAAATAGCGACACTACTACAGTGCTTTTATTATATGAAAATTGATTTGTTAGGTATCAGAAACAACTTACTTTTTTATGTTTATGATTACAGAAATTTTAAAGACAGCGCTATGTATAAAATTTCCAAAGTATTGGACAATCAAAAAAAAAATCGATTATTTGCAAGTCACCAAAAAAGTATTGATTTGAAAAGAATATAATGTTGCTTTGACTTCTATTATTTTTTAAGAATACAACTTGCTGCCTCACATTGCAAATATCTAACACGTTTCACTTGTAATAGATCATTTTTTTGAAAAAATCTGTTGTGGATCTTTAATCTATTAACGTTAGGTCAGAAAAGGTTTATACTGATGACGGATACACATAATTTTTTTAAGTTACAATTTTTTCAAATATATATTATTGAGGTCTATCTAAAAATTAACACCATCTCTCATACAAAAATAACGTTTCCATTGAAAGTAAACGGTTTTTTGACGTCTAATAAACTAAACATTGGACTGAAAACATTTATCTTTATTGCAAACATATATTAGTTTCTTATAAGGGAATTTTTCTTTATACATAACAAATCTCTATCTCAAAAACTTAGATAACCTTTCATAAAAAAGTTAGATTTATTACGTAAAGTCTACATTTTTAACATTTGAAAGTCATTTCTTTACTAACTCTTTTGCTGAGATATTGTGCATGTTATACACATTGTATATTTTTTGGAATAAATACATCTAAATGGAACAAATAAATATCTTCTCTCATATTTACAAACATCAATGTTGTCTGAAGACCACACGCTTCTGTCTGTGAATATAACACGCTTCTGCAGAATAATATTGGTGCTCTAGTCCCCATAGCTCTGTCAAGAAAGAATCAATCTTTTCGAACCTTTCAATACCATGAGCGGTTTCCATTCACTTCCGTCTTGAAAGTGATCATGCGTAAATGAGAACTATACCAACTATATGTGGTTCACTGTCTGAAATGTGCCTTCCTGGAACACCGAGCGGATTTTTATGTCTTGGCTTCACCGTAACTAACAAAAACGCTCTTAGTCTGAAGATCAGACAAATAATTAGAATTGTTAACAGGTACAAGGCCCATAGTTGTACGGTATAACAGAATGGTTCTAAGAACATGTCTTGAGAATGGATGACGATGCTCCACCGAAAAAGATATTTCAAGTGGAAGCTGGAGAAAGACGTAGGGGAAGACAGATCAGATATGTTGCGTCAGGCTGAAAATAAATAACGGGTTATGCAATTTCAAAATTCTTTTTAGTTTTAAATCACGCCTCTTTAAGATTATATTAAGGATCTGATTTTTTAGATCTTTAAAACCTAAATGTGACTAAACCTAATAAATCTTTAACACCCAAATGTAACTAAATTAAAAATTCTTTTTAAATTTAATTTAAAATTTCAGATATTTATCATTTTAATATTATGTAGAAAGTGCAAATCAAAAAATCTTCATTTATTAATAAAAATTATATATAATTTAAAAAATGCCTTTGTGAGTTAATAGGAATTCAAAATTTTTTATTCCACTTAAATGTGGACTCACATTATTAATGTTATTGTTCTTTTTCTTTTTGTGCCCGGTGGAGATCTACAATATATAGCAGAACACATGAAAGAAATTGCGTGATAGGAGTATATGGGTTAGGATGTAGGTTAGGTAGAAGATAATGTCGAAAATGGGTTATTTGGGATATTGAAGCTAACGTGGGACTAGAAACATGGCCTATTTAGTGGTTCAGAGTCATATAATCATATAATATAATCATATAAGAATCATATAACCTGTAACGGAAATAAATATAATTTTGATATGGAATCCAATTTTTTTTTATTTGATAATTAAATTAAAACGCATTATTGGTTTCTTATTTTTCTCTCATATATTTTTCTGTATTCAGAAATTAATAACTTAGTTTCTTTATAATACACAGTAAATTCAGACATTTTCAATTTGTTCCGCTTAATTTAATGCGAATTACAATATCTCTTTATATAATTACTTTGCATAAATATGTTTTATATCTATAATGATACTTTTAATTTGAATTACATAGTTTATATAAAAAGAAAATCAAATATCAAAAAAATATCAACAATTAAATTATTCATTGAAAAATTCTGTATACAAAATGAGTCTAAAATTTACTTAAGTTTACTTAAATTTGTATATTTTATTTCGAGTCCTAACTTATATCATATAAATATTTGTTATTTTGAGATTGCTATCGATTTCTTCTAAATAATTTTAGTTTTAAAATCTTTCACTCAGTTTCGATTTTAGCCATGTTTTGCTAAAAAATATCTTAATATATTATTCATACAGATTTTAATTATAATATGCCTCTTTCAAAAAAAAGCTGTGGGTTTCCTTATTAAACGTGCAATATTATTAGAGAAATTATTTTAAGACTAAATAGAGAGACATTTTAATATATTCACATAAAAAACATAATTAATAATCTTTTTAAAATATATAAAAATTACAGTTAAGTTACTTTTAAGCAGAATTAATAAATAATTAAAACTAAATTATAAGAAATTATGAAAAACAGTTTTTAAACCTTGACTTAATATAGAATATTTTTAGAACTTATAAATATAATAGAAAATAAAAAATCAAACGATATTTACAATTTCTATTTACCTTTGAGATTACAAAAAACTTAAAAGACAATAAATAAAGCACCACCTTTACACTACAAATATTTCTGAATGTATTAGTTGGTCTCAGCATTTGCAACTTAATTAGCTGCCATTGGCGCCCTCCTTTTTGGGACGTAGTATAAAGTTCAGATTATAGTGAGTGTTGACTGCATAATATACATTTGCATTTCTCGGCATTACCAGTTCCTTGTCAGGTAAAACCTGCGCTAGCGTATAACGATCTGGATCATCTTCCAGTCCCAGCTTGAACATTGCGTTTCGTATTACCTGTGGAGTGCGTTCATTGTTGCCTAACATAATACTTTTGTAAAGCACAATTCCATCTAATTCAACATTTTCCGTTTCATAGGTAACACGTATTATGTAAAAATCAGGCACGGCATTTTTCACACTACCAGACTGCACTAATTGTGCATTAATAATAGGCGAACCATTTGTGCCCGTCAGTATTGCACCAGAGCTGTTCGCCGAACGCACACCATTCGCTGAATATGAATGTGACATTTTGGTATTTATATTTGATTTTTGTCCTCCAGAGTTACTAGAATCTAATGATAAATTTGAAACACTACTCGAGGCAGACATGAGTGATGCATTCGCCACCTGTGCATCACGATCAAGGGAATTGTGTCGCGAACTGTAATGGGAACTAAAGCTGTTATTGATTTCACAGTAAAACTGGGAGCCAGCACCACTGCTTGAGTTTGAAGCAATGGAATCGGTTTTTCGATGGCCTATAGAATTTCCTGATGACGCTGTGGTATTCGTTAACGAAGAGGCATTTGTTGATATATTGGATTTTCGTTGTGCAAGTGGTGGTGATTCTAGTTGACAGGATAATGTATGTGCCTCGCGTTCATCCAGAACAACAATTGACACAAACCATCGATCAAAATTCGGGTCCTCGTGTAAATTGTAAGTATTTGCCGCACCTTGCAAGAGTTTTATTTGTGCTAACACTTCAAATTCTTTACGCTTCTTGTCAAAATTTATTAAAGCCTCTTCGCCCATTGTATCAGGTATAGCGGTATGTATCATAGTTAAATCAGTTAAAAATGTGCCCAAATATGGTATAGTGCCATGTGAGGTTTGCGTACTCTGTCGTAGAGGAAAAAGTTCAATTATAGTTAATATATTTTAAACGAGTATATACTTGACAAATTGCATACCTGTTTTTGTATAATTTTCTGCAAATGGCGATCGTGCTCACCAACAGTATCTGCAAATTTCGCAGTTCCTTCCCGCATCAATACCTCTCGCTGTGTCCAGGCATTATTATCCTCAGAAAATATTCTGGCAAGTTCATTAAAAATTTCCATCTAAAATATTTATATATTTAATAACAAAATTAAAATAATACTTATATTATGTTTATATAATACTCGTATGTTATAATATGTAAGATATATGTTATGTAAGTTAGAACAAGATTATTATTAATTATAATCAAAAAACTTTCTAAATATTATACTAAAAAAAGTTCCAGATTGTTTATAAACAGGTCGGTCTAATGTTGTGGCTAAGCAAATACAATAATTTCTTTAAAGAAACCTTATTGCTAAACCATATATCAATTATTAGATTGATAAATTTCTAAATATTAGAAACTAATTCAAAACTACTCGTAGCAACACTTATATAGGTAAAAATTATTTACATAACTTAGGTTATGGTAAAACGACGATCTACTAAATCAAAGCCCACTTGAGCACCAATAATAGCCTATAGTGATGCCATAGATAATAATACGATTTCCTCATTAAGTAAAAGTAAACCAACCTGACTTTACTCCTGCCTTTGTCCCAAATTTTAACGGATGACAGATTTATCAGATCGTTGAAAAAAAGGCTCCAAAGATTTTAAATTTTAGACCTTTATGCCCAAAGAACACAAAGACTTTGGGCACTGAACAATTTTAGAGTTTTGGGCACTGAATATTAGAAAAAAAACACAGTTTCCTATGTTTGCCAGGCACAATCAAAGTCACGACAAAAATTATTATAAAATGGACCAAATATTATTGCATGTCTCTCTAATATTTAATGATCTTTCAGCATTGACACCATCGTGCCGAGTTCCGCTTTAGTTAAAGCAACCGACTGATACATTTCTTGTCTAAATTGAGCCAAGTAAGTCTTCTAGTCTAACAAGAATATTTATCTATCTAGATTTTAGCTATACACTTTTCATAAGCTAATGGGATAGCGTTGAGTGGAGAGTGTATTTCAGAAACAACCGTGCCTGCTCGTCAGCCCCACAGTTACCGAGATGTGCCCGTGTCTCCAAGTAACCATATGAGTTAAACACTGACAAGCCGAAGCAATTGATTGCCTGACATTCTTGGACGGTTAAGAATAAAGCTGAAACACTTGCTTGAAATTCTGAACTCAATTGTATGTAATTAAAATGATTATATATAGTTTAATAAAGCTTGTGGTGAAATTTTTTATTTATTATATTGAAAAGCTACTACATATAATTCCAGAGTAAAGAAAAACATTCGTTTAACTTACCTTTTCTTTGGACAGAACTGCCCAAATTTTTGAAAGCCTATATATTGGATTTGATTGTAAGCCAGAAATAATTGCTTTCAAAGAAGAAAAGTTTTTCAGTAATCGCAGCTCTTGTGCTATATCAATCCACTTAGCAATATTTAAAGCGCGCTCCTACAAAAACAATGAATATTAAAACAAAATAGAACCAATTTAAAAATCATATTAAAAAAATAAAATACCTGTGGTTTAAGTCTTGGTTCGATTAATATACTAGAAATAACTCTAAAAAGAACAGCATTAAATTGATTAATAGTAGCCACAACCGTTTTAGAACCACTTTTATCATGTCTTCCCCAAGTTGCGCCCAAACACTGATGTGGTATCAGACGTTTAAATAAATCTGAATCCATACGTGTAAGTTGCTCAGCGAAATGTCGTACGGGTACATGTGGAAATCGGTACGCCTGCAAAAAATGTGCGGGACTACGAAATGCTGGAGCCAGGCAAAGCCCGGCAAATTGATCTGTTAATTCTCCATTATAATGTGTTGGTAAAACACCAACATTTACTCCAACGCCTACTCCATTATTAATACTACCAACTGCAACTCCACCCACATACCATGGCGATGCTGAGTTTTCATAGTAAATTTGTTGCCGTAATATAAGTTCTAGTCGATGTAACACTTTCTTGTGTAATTCAGATTGTGGTAAACGTTTTGAGGCGAATGCTAAAATCTGTCTGAGATTATCTTCATTCCAATCCTCAGGGAAACCATCTAACCACACATGCAGTGCCGAGACTAGAGTTTTTTTATGTTGTTCATGTATCGAATTATTTGGATCGTAATCCGTTAAATTGCCTATACTATGCTGCTCTTCGATTTCTTGTAAATGCTTTTCGTTAAGTGTATCGTATCGTCTTATAAGTAAATGAAGTACTTCTTTGGGTGTGGAGAATGTGCGGTATGTTGAGAGAAATACATTTATGAATGTAGACTCCAATTCACCATCGTCTGTAGCTAAAGCTTCGACAAGGCGAGCCAAGGTTGCTGCCTTAACAAAACGAACTCTCACCGTTTCCCATTCGAGATGTGAAATTTCATCATCAGAGTCCTGTATTAAAGAATATACAATATTATAATTCCATATGAAATAATAGATAAACTTACATTATTTGCTGTGGGTGTGGGTCGATGGTAACGCACCTTCTTAAGATAAACCGTAAATATCGCATTTTTTTCATGTTCCTCACCCCAGAGTCGCCACGTGGGCTAAAAAAATAAGAAAACAAAATGTTAAAAAAATATTTTTAAAGATAAGATATAATAATCAATAATTTAATAGTATATAATTAAATAAAGTATTGTCTTTTAAAACATTCTCATATTAAAAGTTTGAAAGTTGAAGAAATACAAAAAATAAAAAAACATGTACTCTCAAAAAAGAAGTACGATGAGACAATTAGTGATTGGACACAAAGACGGCGGATCTAAAAATTATGAGCATGTAAAATTATAAAATCAATGTCTTTAAACGTGTTTATTGGAGAAACACAGAAGAAAGTTTGGACCCACATGGGTGTATAATAATGAATAATGATGATAATAATACAATCGAACATGCCTACGATTTTGCATTATTTAGCAAAATAATTTTGTAAGTGCTTCTTGCTAATAGAAATATAGCTTAAAGTAATATAATCTCAGATATACAGCGAAATTTGATAAACACAGGCAGATACAAAGACATCAGATCCATCATATTATAAGTGTGACTTAAAACTGTCCACAGATAAAATAGAGTAAAGGTGCTGATTCACCAACTCAGACATCTGAATATCAATTAATCACCTGCACAAATACTTGACTCAACTGAATATACAGATATTATAAAACTGTGCTAAAGAGAGAAATATATATATTAGTTCCCGTAGATCCTACGAGGACCAAAGGGCCAAAGAAATATATAACATAATTATTTATTTTAACTATTTTGATCGTCAAAAGTTTTTTATTTATTTATAATATAATATATTATTAAATATTTTTATTATTTTGATTTTCTATTTTTAAATTTTCTTTAATAAGAAACCACACGATACAAAAACAATTTAAAAAAATAGAAATTTTCCCCCTGATGTTAAGATTTCTCGTAAATATACAAAAAAAAATAATTATAGAAAAATCCCAAATCAATTGGAAATTAAATAAATGACCCAGTTTATATAAATATGTATTAACATATGATGATATAAAATTATTTTATACTCAAAAAAATTTTAAATTTCGAAAGAAATCTCTACTTGAAACAAATTTTCCTTTTATAATTAAAAAAATTTTAAACACACCGAAATAGATGATAGTTAGTGCTTACCAGTTGCAGACTCTCTGGTAAGAGATGCGGATTACTTGGTTGTATTGGGATACCACAGTTTTGGAACATATGTTTTACAAAAATTTTAAATCACAACACCTTTATTTTGTACCGGGAACCCATTCCACATTTGAAGCAAGTGCATGCAACATTTTTAATAACTAAATATCTGAACATTTGACGAATGGAACATGTAAAGTAAATAAACATTTTCTGGCAAATTGTTAAAATTTTTCCTTTTCCCTCTAACCGATATTTGTGGAACTTCGTTCTTTTGCGACCAGTAACATTTTTATACAATTTTTTAATTTTAAGTGATTTATATTTCATCACCTATCACCTAAGTGGACGCGCTTTGCTCCAGAGAAGGACAACAATAAGTAGTGAGTATATTTCATCACCTCTGCAAAGTGATATCTTACAAAAATAACTCGTTATAGTTTTGCTTCAGAAGCAAATAACAATCAAAAAATCATTGATATTATGTTTTTGACCGACGTTTCACAAATGGTTTATAAAAATTTTTGTCGATCTTAAGGTACTTAGCGTTTTGATCATCTTTCACATCAATGAATCAAATTCTGGCAGTTGATTAGGGTAGAATCAAGTCTTTCTTGTACTACAATTGTTAAATGTGTTAATTTATTGCCAAAATTACTCGTAATTCTATTTTGAAGTAAAATTTAAAACAAACAGCTAATCTTATTAAAGAGGGTTAAGCAGTAAATATTTTGATCTAAATTTTTTTTTATATTTGAATCAAGTAAATTATTGTTCTGACCTTATAGTTGTTTCAGATTTTAAAAAATATTCATCATCAATGGTCTATGTACCATTAAGTCTAATAAGCTATTAGTTTAATTGACTGTATGTTATTATGAACGGTCCAAGAATTGAATCCTGTCCAATTTCAACTATAATTCCGAACCGAAATACTTGTTTCATACTAAACAAATAATTCATTTTTGATTTTCTTCCTTCTGTGGCTGTTTAAATTAAACCTATAGCACCAATTAAAGCTAATGTGAACAATTCATTTGGTGGTACCATGTGACAATACAAAAAAATGCACGGACAAGATATTATTGCTTTAATTTAGCTAATTCATACATTTCAGAAATTTTCATTTTTCTATTTCTTCCCGACTTATAATTATTTGCATCCATCCCTGTCCAGGTTCTTGCGTATGCTCATCCACAATCAATAATATAAAAGTTATACTATAAAAGTTATTATTATTTATTATTATTTAAGTTATTATACTATAAAAGTTAATTATAATAACTGCAATAACAATTGAAACGTTTTATAATTTTTCAATATCTCTAAGTGATATATATGTGACACCTTAAAGTTTTTTTCAACTTTTTAACTAAATTGTAATATTTAATAAGTAATACACATATAAATTAAGACTATTTATAAGGTTAAGGTCTTAAAGGTCTTAAAAAGTCTAAAAGGTAAATCTGTAAATTATAGAAAAATCCAACAATATTATCATATATTAATGAATTGAGTTTTTTATTTTTTTAGTCAGCAAATATATTCGAAAAAGCTACCAAGACTTTCACAATTTAAAATGCTTTTAGGGACTTACAACTTAAAACGCTTCAATTGCATAAAACAAACAAAGAATAACCTACGAATTATTATGAGATTACTGTCACTGTAGATTTTGTATTCACCTAACAAAGTTAGAAAACAGATCCAACTCAGACTGCAGATACTGTAGAGAAGAGAGAGAAACCTAGGAGAGTGCCCGGCACTAATGCACAAGCAGAAGAAACACCTTGAAAGGTATTTCATGGAACATAATGACTCAAGACAAGGAAAGATAGGCCCTATACTGTCTTGCATTAAAAAAATCGGACTTGGAGAAACACCCTAATTCGACTAAGGGGCACAATAGATCTTGTAGGACGCAGTGTACTATCCCTTTTCTATAATAATAATAATAATCGACAAATATTCTTTGTGAGTGGTCTTTGAATATATTTCTTGATTTTACACTAGTCCGTATATAATTTTTGGACAACAAATCTTAGGCTTTATGTTCTGAATTTACCAAATTTGGACATCCGACGCATTTTAAGAATTCATATGTTTTAATTTTTGAACATATAATAATTTTCTAGTAGTGTATAATATAATACCACGAATATACAATTTTTTATTGAATGTTGTATGTGAATTTTGCAATTTTTCAGTAAAGTATATAATATGTACAAAAATCTTTTTTAATCAAAAATATACAACATTGGATTTTTTAATATATAACAATAAAAATACAAAAATATTTTTTATTGTATATATTTTTATTGAATTTCCTATATAAGACCAAATAAACGATTTAAAAGAATCACGAGGATTTAAAATAAATAAATAAACAGTTTAAATCATATATCCGTACGTACGTGTATGCCATGCCTTAGCAATTTTATTGCACTTCACATTTTGTTTATTTAAATGTTAAGTAAACAAAAGTACAGAGATACATTCTTTAAGGTGAGAGTTCAACTAAGTTATTTCAAAATTACTTAATTTTATCATTAAAGAAAAATATCTGCAGCTTTATTTGTAATCTTGAAGGTGCGTGTACTTAAAAATTACTTAAAAAATAAATTCTTTTATCAAACTCGATCAGTTCATTTTTGTTTCAATAAGCAAAATTCTGAGGCGCCAAAACTTTTTTGTTTATAATTTCTGATCGTATTTCTAAGTTTTTATTTTGAAATAATTAATGCCTAACACACTTTTGCAACAGATTCAATGTCTTATACATTGCGGATATTCATATTAAGTCAAAATGAGCACGATCCGAAAAACAAAAAATTTAATTCACAATTAATTAGAATAAATTAGAATAAAACGAAACATTTGCAGCATCTGGTCTGAGTAGCCACAAATCTGTGGGTTTTATTTCCAAAGCCTGGACGATTCATTGCACTGAGGCATATGCAAAATTATTCATGCTTGACTGGAACGCTGTGGAAGATATCATGCTTTTGATTAACATATTAACTTGTGTGAAATATGAGCATAGTAAAATCATTTTCACATTGTTTTATCTAAACATTTATGTATTATATGAGCTCAAATAAATTGCATGCGCCTATAGTTGTTGAGCCACCGCAGAAAAACAGCCTCTTTCATGTTTACGTAGTGCTATTTTTCTTTTATATTATTTTTATTTAAACAATTGTTGGCAGGAGCGTAGCTAAGGAGGGATATGCACGATTATAAATTTCGTTTTAGATTTAAATTTCCATTCAAAACTTTAAGGTTGCAGATCGTATTTATAAAGAAATTTAACTTTCAACTTTGTTGAGTCAGTTTTCTTTTTTTTTGTTAAATTTAGTATCTAGTACTTCAAGTAATTCAAGTAAGTAATTCAACTTTTCAAGGGATTAATATGCCTTGCAGACGAATACTTTTACTCTGCTGGGCACGATGAATTTTGCAGGTCTTTGTTTACCGGTTTCATATATGCTCCGGAAAAATACCGAATTTTTATTAAATTAATTTCATAATCTCAATAGCAGTTCTGTATAATGCTTAGCTTAATTCCTTTTTTATAGACGATATAATATGAAAATTAACATCAAGACTTTATAAAAATTTATCGATTTTACAATTTCCAAAAACAGCAAGAAATACAAAGTGTTTATTATAGGAATAAAAGTTTTCATCTTTCTTTAAAAAGTGCCTAACAACAATAAATTATTTAAAACTTTATATTACAATTTTTTATTTTATAAAACACAAAATTTTCACTATAAGGTTAGAAAATTTAACTGAATTTACAGAATAAATAGGAGAAGAAACATATAGGAGGGTATTTCATTGACCATAAAGATTCAAGACTAGGAAAGATATGCTGTATACTGTCTTTCATTAA